CACTCGTTGACGCGAGTGGATTCTCGTCCATCGTGTGTCTCTTCGTCTCTATTTGATAATTAGACAGAGGGCGGGTGCACGCCTTGCGGACTCGCTCTCGCGGGTTCGTCGCCTCCTCGCAATCCACGACGCCCGCCGTGCTCTCGTCCGCCCGTCCTCCCCGGCACCCCGAAACCGCGTTTAACGGCGTGGACGTCGATCGCGGGGTCGAGGTGACACGCGGGTTACGGGAGACAGGCCTCGTGGAATTGTGCCGCCCTCCCCGCGCCACGGCGGAGGCGGGCGGGGTCGGGGAAAGACGTTTTTGAGGAACCGTTTTGGCCCGTGTTGGACCCCCCGCGGCGATTTTGCGTATTAATAATATAGATGCCATTGCTTAAACTTCTTGCTCTGTGCGTGGAGTGGTATGCGACAAATTTCTTCCAGCAAAGAGCCATCCAGGGAGGGGGGGGGGGGGGGAGGATTTTGATGTGAAATATTTTCAATCAAAAGTCGCCACCATATATGTTCTACCTCTTTTTCTTTTTCTTTCACAATTTTTGGAATCCTTTCATATAAATATATATTTTAAGTCATTACCTTTTTATACAGGCATGCAAATTTTATATTTTTGACGTAACCTCAAAGGGGCGAGTTAAAATCCAAATTCATAATTACTATCATTTTGTCTACAACTAGTTCATCTAATAAACAAGGAATTACACCAAAGAGTCTGTTGGCCATTCCGATAGGCCATGATTTCTTGTCGAACATGGAGACTTTTTGCGATCGGGGGCGGGGGAACTGAATTCAGACAAGGATTTTTTTTATTTTTTTATTTTTTTATATTTTTTATTGGGTACTCAAACATAACATGAAAGCCAACTGGCTGTTTACAATCATGTACAAGAATGTGAAATGACAAAAACGTCATATAGTCCACTACAACTCAAATATAAACTTTTTAAAATGGAGACTTAACTTGCCATATTTGGCTGCAATTACATATTCAGATTTAGACTTAATTTTTATCCAAAATATAAGACCATGAAAATTTGGTTTCTCTTTCTTAAATTTGCAGCAGTGAATGTAGAACCTGGTACACAAAATAAAGAAATTTATACATATTGAATTTTGATAGTCCTTGGGACAACCAAACATTCTTTCAAAATCCGAAAAATAACTTCTTTTTTAAGTTTTAAAGATAGAGAATTCAGACAAGGATTAATAGTCGAGGAGGTACAACGAACCGTCTTTTATAATTTATTGAAATGTCAAAGCTTCCGCGCGGGAGGGGGGTGGGGTACTGAATTCAGACAAGTATTAAGAGTCGATAAATGTAATCGAATCAACTTCTTACCCTAATAATTTAATGAAATGTCAGAGCTTCCACGCTTCGCGCTGGAATGGGGGGGATTGTTTTCTTTCTCTAGTAATTTAATGAAATGTTAAAGCTTCCGCGCTGGAAGGGGGGGGGGGTCACTGAATTCAGACAAGGATTAAGAGTCGAGAACGCTACAACGAATCGTCTTCTTTCTCAAATAATTAAATGAAATGTTAAAGCTTCCGCGCTTGAGGGGGGGGGGGGAGACTGAATTCAGACAAGGATTAAAAGTCGAGAACGCTACAACGGATCGTCTTCTTTCTCTAATAATTTAATGAAATGTCAAAGCTTCTGTGCGGGAGGGGGTGGGGGCTGAATTCAGACAAGGATTTATTGTCGAGAACGGTACAACGAATCAACTTCTTACTCTAATAATTTAATGAAAATGTAAAAGCTTCCACGCTTCGCCCTGGAGGGGGGGGGGGGGACAGAATTCAGACAAAGATTAATAATCGAGAACGGTACAACGAATCGTCTTCTTTCTCTAATAATTTAATGAAATGTTAACGCTTCCAAGCTGGAGGGGGGGGGGGGGGGAACTGAATTCAGACAAGGATTAAGAGTCAAGAACCGTACAATGAATCGTCTTCTTTCTCTAATAATTTAATGAAACGTCAAAGCTTCAGCACGGGGGGGGGGGGGGGGGGGGGGGGGTACTGATTTCAGACAAGGATTAAGAGTCAAGAAGGGTACAACGAATCGTCTTCTTTCTCTAATAATTAATGTCAAAGCCTCCGCGCGGGACGGGGGGGGGGGGGGGCTGAATTCAGACAAGGATTAAGAGTCGAGAACGCTACAACGAATCGTCTTCTTTCTCTAATAATTAAATGTAATGTTAAAGCTTCCGCGCTGGAGGGGGGGGGGGGACTGAATTCAGACAAGGATTAATAGTCGAGAACGCTACAACGAATCGTCTTCTTTCTCTTATAATTTAATTAAATGTAAAAGCTTCCACGCTTCGCCCTGGAGGGGGGGGGGGCAGGAACTAAATTCAGGCAAAGATTAATAATCGAGAACGGTATAACGAATCGTCTTCTTTCTCTAGTAATTTAATGAATATCAAAGCTTCCACGCTTCGCGCTGGAGGGGGTGGGGGCTAAATTTAGATAAGCATTAATAGTCGAGAACGGTACAACGAATCTTCTCTCTCTAATAATTTAATGAAATGTTATATTTCCACCTTGGAGGGGGGGGGAGGGGGGACTGAATTTAAATAAGCATTAATAGTCGAGAAAGGTACAACGAATCGTCTTCTTTCTCTAGTAATTTAAGGAAATGTCATGCTTCCGCGCGGGGGGGGGGGGGGGGGGGGTGAATTCAGACAAGGATTAAGAGTCGAGAATGGTTATATGAATCGTCTTCTTTCTCTAATAATTTGATGAAATGTTAACGCTTCCGAGCTGGAGGGGTGGGGGAACTGAATTCAGACAAGGATTGAGAGTCGAGAACGCTACAACGAATCGTCTTCTTTCTCTAATAATTTAATGACATGTCAAAGCTTCCGCGCGGGAGGGGGGGGGGGTGCATTCAGACAAGGATTAAGAGTCAAGATCGGAACAACGAATCGTCTTCTTTCACTAATAATGTAATTAAATGTCAAAGCTTCTGCGCGAGAGGGAGGTGGGGGGGGGGCGGCTGAATTCAGACAACTTAGAGTCAAGATCGGAACAACGAATCGTCTTCTTTCACTAATAATGTAATTAAATGTCAAAGCTTCTGCGCGGGAGGGAGGGGGGGGGGGGGGGACTAAATTCAGGCAAGGATTAGGTGTCGAGAAAGGTACAATGAATCGTCTTCTTTCCCTAATAATTTAATGAATACTTTTTGTCACTAAACAGAGATCCATATTCGACTATTCATTAAAATACTGCAGAAAAGGGATCTAATTCTAAATCACGACTGAGATAATTCGCTATCATGACTGGTATCGTGATCTGAGCATTGCGAACTAATGACTCCTCAATCATATCGATCATAAAAAAATTTAAATAAAATTGCTGAATTTTAGAATCAAATTTTTGTATCATTGCTTCAATTTACGAAAAAATAAACATGACAAGTAGGGCCTATTTCAAACAGGCACATCACAACCACACAAACAAGCAACAAAATAGGCCTACGCCGCGAATAGATCGATGAGCTCGAAATGACTCTAGACAAGATTAGTTTCGCATTATTACGATTAGAGTTATTTTATAAAAAGAATCATAGGTATTAAATAAATAACTTGATACTTTATCGTCTTTATTAACAATTGATTTTCACATCTGTCCCAATTTTGACTCTCGTAGACTTCCCCCATCAATCTATTCTCTCGCTCCCTCCCTCCCTCCATCTTCCAAGTGTACCCCTTCCTCTCCCTCTCCCTCTCTCTTGTCTCCATCTTTCTTCATGTTTGTTTATCAACACCCAAGGAATTGCGCGTAGGGCCTTTGTTCAAACAAAGTTCAAGGGTTCAAATGGGCGGCATTTTGTCTCCTCTCATTCAAATCTCAAAATAGAACTCCAGTTCAGAATTGCCCAAGATACCTCTCATCCAAACATAAACAAAAGGTTTAGATTTTAATGGGTCAAGATTTACGTGCCGATACGTCTTTTTTACACGAGGTCGTGGACAGAATTGAGGTTAGATTTATCATGGAATGTGTTGATAAAACCCAAGCAATCTATATTTTGCATACTTAGATCTATAGCTTGAAATTAAATTGTGAGCAAATAAACTTTACTATTGTAAAACCCATCGATCTATTGCTTGGAATTAAAACTAATCAGGAATAATCTCAATCACATTGCTCTGCAATTCCAACGCTAGCTAGCTCGCTCACTCCATTCGGCTTGCGCCTAGATTACACCATGCGCGAAGCTAGCCAACGTGGCTAGCGAGTACTAGCGGCTCACTAGTATCTTCAGCTAGCGCATCCTTTTATGATTGCTGCGCATGTGCGCATTGACATTCGTCCTCCTGCGTCGCGATGATTTCTATCTAATAATTAAATTTGGAGACTTGCAGTCAGGCAAAGTGCGCGTACCAAATTCGTCCTCTTGCGTCGCGACGATTTCAATTTAACAATTATATTTGGAGACTGCAGTCAGGCAAAGTGCGCGTACCAAATCAGCGCCGAGCGTTCCATGCAGGATCCTGCATCGGAACGACAGCAATAATAAATATCTCATGCCTTACCAAGTTAGCTGCAGTTGTTGTAATGCTTGATGATGACCTCAAATTGCATATATGTTGCAAGCATTTGTCTTTGATATCCCTCAAAGAGATTACATCTAATTCCTCTTCATGTCTTTCTCCAATAGTTCCGTCATCTGAATCTTCTGAGTCTGAATCTAAAATAGCATTAGCTGCTGCTCCATTTACATAAAATGGAACTTGATGAACATGATCACGGTCAAATAAATCACTGTGTGCAGAGTTCAAATGCCTCTTCAAGGACCAAGTGTACTGAAATGTTCTAAGACACCCTCTTTGAAAACACGGAACAACTCCACAGTTAAACAATCCACCTTTTACTAATGTATGAAATACTCTGTAATGACATACCAATTCAGTGCTTCCCCCGTGTACACTCTCATGACAACGAAAGCATAAGAGCCCCATTCATGCTTAATTTTCAGTTATGAAGAATACCTCTTTGAGTGTGACAGTAGTGTCATCCTGTATGGATTTGTTGAACTCCTTGTATCGCCTGGAGAACTTCAATTTATCCCCAAGTTTGGGAAACAGTTGAGTGATGGACGCATCATCAAGGAGGTGAAACGCTTCACTGTCTATTCCATTATCTACAAGAAAAGAAGAAGGAAAAAAAAAATGTGAATCAGCTCAGCAAATCAGACAACTGTTGCTAACCTGTATATTTTGTATGCGACCCTATGTTCTACATGATTATACAGTATTACAAGTCAAGTCACTCCCAAAAAGTTGTGTACCTATGTATTTAATGGCAAAGCTACCCCTGTCAGTAAATGAGGAAAATGAAATGAACAAACTTAAAATTTGAGCAAGATTTGACAATACGTTCAAAAGTTACCTGTTTTTAAAGTTTCAATGATCCTCTGATGGGGATCTTAACCTTAATCCCATCGGGGGGGGGGGGGGGGGAGCCTTTTAGGCCCCCCCTGTCTGTTTTTTTGACGTGCATCTAGAGCGATTGGAATTTCTCGTTCAAACTTCATGACATTTTTCTCTCAAGTCTCCCGCATGTTTTGATATATAATTCACCCCGGTCGGACCTGTAGAACTGATTTTACAGGTCGATAAATTGCTCGTCCGTCACAAAAAAATGTAATTTTTGTACAGGTTTCTATGTAATTCCTATATCCGATGCCATGTAAACTCAGTCCAAATCTGTTATTATTGTTACTTTGAATTATAATTTGGATTATTTCTTTGTTATTAGTTGAATTCATACATTTGAGCGATAAATTCTTCTTTAAACAAAATTCAAACAACAAAAAAACAATAGAATACATAAGAATGAAAACAATGTGTATAAATCCGGGAATACTAATTTGCATATTTATGCAAATTAGTGACATATTTCAACAGCATAAAAAACTTGGATATGATAGATAACATCATTTGAAAGTACTTTTGCAGAAAACCTGAAGAAATCCTGTAATTTCTATTGATTTTAGACGAAAATCCCAATTTTCTCCCAATTTCGTCAAAAATTTGCATATTCAAAATTTTAATTAATTAAAAAAATAATAATAATGCTCAATTTTTTTTTTTTTTTAAATTCTCATTCTACTCGACTTGTTTGTTTTACATATGTGCCAATTTTCCAGTCAATCGGTCCATTCGTTGCCGAGATTTTTTTGGGGGGCCAAATTTTTAATTAACAATACATATAATAAGAATAATGTTTAGCTATAAAATCAAATTTCCCCATCTTCAATATAAAAAAAACATTTCAAAAATTAATTCATGAATGGGTCCTCTTATAAATACGGGTATCATCGAGAAAGATTAATTGTTTTTGCATTAAAGGGTTCAAAAACGGGTTTTAAAAACAATAAGATATAATAAGCAAATTGTAGAGCAGTGCCTGACATACGTTATAACATGTGACCTAGAGTCGCCAATTTGCAAAGGTCTGTATTTTTTAATGTCTTGCAAATATTAATTTAACTTTCTTATTTATTGTCCAATTTCCTTCAAACTTTTTTGATCTCTACGTCTGATTTTTTTCTGATTTTAACCGAAGCAATTAAGGTTTTTCTGGGCTGGATCCCTAAAGAAGAGTCTACCCAAAAATAATAATTTTTCAACAGGAGCAGAAAAATCAGATGAACAGAACAAAAAAAGTTTGAGGAAAATCAGACAACTAATCATATGAAAAACTGGGGAAATCAGTGAAAATTTCTAGACAAATTGCCAATTTGATGACGTCATGGATGCGCTACTCACAAATTTGTTTACTTATATTTATAAGTACTGCAAAAATCCATTATTTGATCAATCACATTATTTTGTTTTCAGAACTTGAACCAAGTTTACATTTTTATATTGTCATGTACACCTTAAAATATGTAATGAACTAAATATATTGAGCTTCACAATATTTTATATTTTGAATTACTCAATTTATTATAGAATATTGAATCATAAATTCATATTTTTCAAGACTTTTATTAAAGAAAATTATGAAAGAAATTTATACAAATTTCAAGGCATCTAGGACAAGTCAAAATAAGAATTCTAAAATCCTCTGTCCGGATACCCAACCTGTCCGGACACCCGATAACTGGGTATACTAGTAGGCCTGGGGCGGTATTCTGAAAGACTTACGAGTCGTAACTTACGATTCGTGTTTGTTCATAATTTGATGTTAAACACGCGTTTGTGTCATTGCTCGCGAAAAGCTCTGTAGCCATAGAGCTATACATAGAGTAACTATAATAGTAAGAGCTATATATATATATAGAACTAGCAGACAACGCGCAAAAGTTTATTAAACTCTACCGAGCTTGTCTTTTCCTCTTTAGTATGCAATTCTGCGCCTAAAAATGATGAAACAAACATTTCCATTGGCTGCGAGCATTATTATTCATGAAACTGAGATATGACAGCTCTCAAAAAGATACGACAGTCGTATAGAATTTTCAGAATACAAAAAGTTACGACTCGTAAGGGTGTCGTATCTTTTCAGAATACCGCCCCTGGCTCTAACTAGTTAGGTACATGTTCTTTTCTTGAAATAGGAATTTTAACTAAACTTTAAAGTTATCCAACTTACAAATACAACTACAATTACAAAGTACAAGCAATGTAACTGTAGCATTGATGATTATTGGTTTGATGCCTTATAGCAAAATCGTGCTTTCTGCCACCACTGTTCTTTTGTAACTAGATCTAGATTCTATGCGTGCATGCAGATTTCGTGTAGATCTATAAACCTTAGACTACCCCGGTAGGCCATGTAGGCCTAACCTTGCCCGACCAGGCCGCTATCGCTTCGCGCTATACGGCTAGGCCTATCCTAACTCTACCGATCGCCAGCGCGGCGATCCGTAGAGTTAGTAGGCCTAGATCTAGGCCTATCCTAGAATCTAGTTAGGCCTAACTTAGCATAGACTAGATCTACATGCATTGATTTTGAAATGGAAATCTGTATCCTGCACACACTGAAAAGTGAATGGAACAGTGACAGAAACCAAGAGAATGATGTTATAAAAAGTAATAACTTGAAATTGAATCCATAGAAAAGGACTCACTTCAAGCGTCGATTAGGATCACGACATCGTCTGGCAGTTCTGAACTGAAGCGTGTAACGCGTACCGTACCGTACTCACTCCCGCAATGCATTATGCATTACGTAGATCTATACATCGTATACCGTGGGTGATGGGGAACTTGGCCAGTCACAAACAGTCACAAATTGCACAGTGCGCCATAGACTTTGTACACACACAGTGCGCGGTGGCCAAGTTCTACTGCACTGCGATAAATTGAACTTTCGGACGTAAAATCACGCCTTTTGGAAAACTGCATTGACGATGAGCGATAATCTTTTACCACCGAACGCACCATGACATTGCAGTCCAATTGGTGGGAGTTTCTACCGAAATGAGCTGCTGAGTTTCGATTTACAAATGCGAGAATCAAGATGAAAAAAATTGTAATTTTCAAATTATTGTGAAAAAAATAAAAATGACAACTTTTTTTAGTGTAGAGAGCGACTTTCAGGCGATTTTTTGGATAACCAGGAGGACTACAGAACAGCAAGATACAAGTATTTTATGAGGAAAATGCAAATAAATCGTTTGATATAACTTATAAGTCGCATGTTTACTGCATTCTCGGCAAATCTAATTTCAAAGCAAGTTCTCCCCCCCCCCCCCGGCCAAGTTCTACAGCACCCACGGTACAGCATAGGAAGCCCGCACGATTCCGAGACAGAGAAAAATCTTTGAGATAATCCACTTCAATCTTTACAACCGATTCATATGCCATGCCAACCTATACCTACAAATAATCTATAATGTTTATTTGTGTAATTTAGATGATTACTGTACATTTAACTTACCTCTGAAAGCTGTGGCATACTCCTCAAAACCCCACTCCTTTAAAAGCCCGTCAACGTCCATTTTCCAAATTACGCGATATCGATCAAATATTAAAACACGTGCGCGCGCGATGATCTGACGTAGTTGTCAATTAACCAATGAAATTACGAGTCGCAATCGCAACAAATGACCACGGCGAAAATGACCACGCGCACGCGCAGTCAAAATTGTATTGATGTTGTTTCAAGAAAAAATAGGACAAAATACGTGGAAAATAACCGCAAACGTGGTTAATAATTTTTAACCACGGCAAAAGTGTCGTTAAAGTAACCACGTACGATCTCCGTTTTTTTAGAGTGTAGGATACATTCCCACACTGCTATGTTCAGTGATGGAAGAAAGTCATCTGCTCCCTGTTTGTTACCCTGTAAGTTTCTCTCTCTCTAGATTCATAAGATCATAGGATACATTCCCACACTGCTAAGTTCAGTGATGGAAGAGAGTCATCCGCTCCCTGTCTGTTACCCTGTAAGTTTCTCTCTCTCTCTCTCTCTGGATTCATAAGATCATAGGATGCATTCCCACACTGTTACGTTCAGTGATGGAAGAGAGTCATCCGCTCCCCGTCTGTTACCCTATAAGTTTCTCTCTCTAGATTCATAAGATCATAGGATGCATTCCCACACTGCTATGTTCAGTGATGGAAGAAAGTCTTCCGCTCCCTGTCTGTTACCCTGTAAGTTTCTCTCTCTCTAGATTCATAAGATCATAGGATGCATTCCCACACTGCTTTGTTCAGTGATGAAAGAAAGTCATCTGCTCCCTGTCTTTTACCCTGTAAGTTTCTTTCTCTCTCTCTAGATTCATAAGATCATAGGATGCATTCCCACACTGCTAAGTTCAGTGATGGAAGAAAGTCATCCGCGCCCTGTCTGTTACCCTGTAAGTTTCTTTCTCTCTCTCTAGATTCATAAGATCATAGGATGAATCCCCACACTGCTAAGTTCAGTGATTGAAGAGAATAATCCGCTCCCTGTCTGTCATCTTGTAAGTTCTGTCTCTCCCTCAATTTTTTATATTTTTGATGTTGGCTGAAGCCAAACTAAGCTTGTTTGATAACGTGCTGCGATTTGAGTGTTCACGTACTGCGTGCGTTGAACGGCTGCATCATCGAGTAACGAATTTTGTATTTGCTTTTTTGTACAGATTTATGGCGTATTGTCAGTTACACTGCTGCTGCATGTGTGAATGCCTGTTTAAGGTGAAGATTTCTTATTTTCAAAGGCACACCATGCTAGAAATTCCTAATTCTTTATTTCAAATGTTGGCAGGTATGCAATAGCTTCTCTCTGCAAGAGACCGCTGTTCTTTTTAGAATGCTGCCCTACTGGATACTGATGGCACATTCCTCAAGGCCATCTTGTAGGTCAGCGATCTCTTCCTGCTCTTCCAACGACACGTCCTTGGTTGATCAGCTGTATTGTGTTAACCGTAGAGACGGATCTGTGCCGTTTCTTTGTCTGCCTTTGATTTACAATTAGGCCTCCTTCGGAGAACAGATTCTTTTGGATGTAATGGATAGTGGAATCAAGCTGTTGCTCCATAGCCAGCAGGAGTGGCTCACTGGTGCAGAGGTAGGTCATATCTCTAAGCAGCATTAGCTTCTCTCTGCAAGAGACCGCTGTTCTTTTCAGAATGCTGCCCTTCTGGATACTGATGGCACATTTGCTTAAAAATCCATCTTTCTTTATCCTTTTGCGGATGGGCAGCTGTGGTACATTTAAAGTAGAGACGGATCTGTGTCGTTTCTTTGTCTGACAGAGCCTTTCATCTACAATAAGGCCTCCTTCCGAGAACAAATTCTCTCGGATGTATTGGATAGTGGAATCAAGCTGTTGCTCCATAGCCAGCAGGAGTGGCTCACTGGTGCAGAGGTAGGTCATATCTCTTAGTAGCATTAGCTTCTCTCTGCAAGAGACCGCTGTGATCTCTGTGATCTGCTCACAGGTTTCTGCAAGTGCAAGGGGAAACAAAGAATTAGATGACTCTACAAGGTGCAAATGTGGTTGTAGGGCACTGAAGGGCAGTGTTAGTTTAAACAGTCAACTCAACTGATTACATACATGTACTAGAGTGCCCCTCATTGTCTGTTAATCTTCACTGTTTACAAATGTGCAGTTTTCTTTGGGCCTGACATTTTGCCAAATTGCCAAATAAATTCAATCAAAATTCCCCATAGTTTTGCTTTGCAGACTTGATGTTTCCTTCTTCCCACTCCCATTCCCATTCCTGAAATTCATTTGTCACTGCTGCCCTCTTGCTGATGTACTTCCTAAACTGCGTTATAAATATGCGACCTGTATTTCTTTCCATGCATGGAGTCTAGGACATTAATTTGCCTCGGTTTGGTATCAACAGCAAGTAGAATACAATGGCTGTCATTCACATTATCCGGAAAGAACAACCATCTGCAGTTTGTCAGCTTCACCTTTAAAACGACACAACCACTGCTCGTATCTACCAAGCTTCCACATGACAGCAGTGTATGAGAGGAATGCTTATACATGCATTGTGTCAGACAGGTTTTGCTTTCTGGAGAGGACGGATAGGTAGGAGTTGATAATCCTGTCATTAATCCAAGATGGAAACTCTTAGGAATCAAAGTCTATTTTCTCCAAAACCTCTCCACAAACATACAAGCGATCGGTGTCTCCTAAATTTCACATCTTTACGCTGAACGACTTTGATCATGTTAAGGAATCTTTCACTGCCATTTGGGGTTTTCTTTGCAGACCGCTTTGTCATGCTACTTTTCTTTTCACATTTTTTATTTTAGGAAGATTCGGATTTCCCATGCTTTTGCAGACTTGTTCCTCTTCAAAATTTCTTGCAACTGGGTTCTCCGGAGCAGTGGTTTAAAGAAGTAGAGGAAAACAACTTTCCGATGCTCAAATTGGTAACAGGGGTCACTGTTGGTTCCCTCTTATGTTTTCCGGTTCCGGTTTCTTCTGTGCAGTTCTTCTTTGAAGCCTTTGGAAAGTACTGTTGGATGCTTGACGTTGGATTCCAGACCACCATAGGTTCTTTGTTAAGTTCCCTCGACCCGTGTAGCTATTTAAGCGAGCTCATCAAGCGATCGCTAGAACAGCTGTAATATCAAGTGATGGTAACCCTCTAAAATATTGCCATCTTGGACAGTTCTCCCTGGTATGGTGTCTTCTGTCGAATGCGATGGTAAGTGGCAGCACAACCTTCACCAGTTTCTTCATGTTTGTTGCATTGAAGTACCATCCAAAGCTGTTGTTACCTGCGATGCCATTCGTTGCCCTTCAAGTTCTGATTTAAAAAATGTGCACAAAGCCACAATATCTTTGGTTAACGGGATGAGTTTTATGTGGATCTTCTTTCTTTCAGTACTCAGAGCATGACTAGATATTTCCTCGCTCCATTTTCTCACTAACACTCACTAACTAATAAACACACACCTTTCATCAAATTAGGGAACCTGCAATGCATGTTACATAACAGACACAAGTAATCCTCTACACCATCACCATCCGATCCCGTGTCGTTCATCTCCCCTACACCATCACCATTCCGTCTCTGCGGGGACAGGAAAATCAGCTGAGGGAAAGTTATTTGAAGCTGATGTTTAAGTTTCTTTGTCTGGTACAATGACGAGTCAACCCCTTTAATTCTCAATCCTACCTTTTAACTGCACGGCGCTCAACCATGACAAAGACTTGAAGTGGATTGATTCGAGAACCCAAGACTACAATG